GGCTCAGTGAAAGGCATGACCTCTGCCACTGGGTGGAGGGAAGCTGTGAGTGCAGCAGAGGACGCGTAATGTGGAAGAAAATGCTGTATAATCCTGCAGAGGCAGCTGCCAGCGGTGCACCCGGGCAGGAGCACCAGGATGTGAGAGAGCAGTGCCTGGCTGAGGGCTCTGAACACCAGTCACTGAGCCAGCCAGCCTGGTGTTACATGGAGCTGGGAGTCCGAGGTGGCCCTAACCCCTGCCACTAATCCCCAACCAATGGAGGCCTCTGCTTTGCCTGAGACAGGCTGGGAGCAAGCAGGGATGGCTGAGGTGTGGAAGGAACTGTGTCAGCTCAGCCTGGAGGGATGGCAATGCAAACAGTGAGGTATGTAAGGAGGGATGGCAAGGAAGGGGATACAGCCTGCAATGCCAGCTGTGGGTGACAGCACGAGCCTGAAGGGGAGGGAATCCAGGTCAGACACCAGAAAAAAATGAGCCTTGAATCTTCCAGAGCAAAGCTACTGAAAGAGCATAGGAATTCCAGAGAGGTTTTCTGGGAGTAACTTCTGTGCCCTGTGCCGGGATGGAATCTGCAGAGAACAGAAGGGGCCTTGAGGCTGTGGGTTTAGGAGGCTGGGTTTGTCTTGGCTCACACTTGAAGCTGTGTCGTTCTGCTGCTGGTTTAGCTCCTCTGCACACTCGTGAGCACAGCTACACGGAGGTGTGCTAGAGCAGCTCTGCTGCAGAGCTGTACCTGGTCAGGTCAGGTGCAATCCTGTGCAACCTGAGGCTTTTTGTGTGGGATTCCCCGAGAGCAGGCGGGTTGTGCAGCAGTGACAGTCCACAGGGTGGCAAAGTGAGCAGCGGGATAAAGCCAATCCCTCTGCTGTCGTGTGTCCTGATACGCTCTGGCAGCTTGTTCAGGTTGAGAGCAGTTCTCTGTCCTTGCTGAAAAACAAGTCGGGGGAGAAATGAAGTCTGTTCTTCTCAGGCATTTTTCTTGTTGCAGAAACTCCCAGCAGGCTACTTACTTGGGAAACCACTGAAGTCCTGTTTGTCACCATGGGTGTGCTCCTGTCCTCCACTTGTGGAACATAAATCTCATGAGAAGGAGGTTGCTGTTGAGCAGATAAGCTGTGGATGGTGGGGTGTGGGTGTATGACTTCCCCTCTTCTCTGAAGAGCTGTTTCACTTGTGCACGTGCTTGTTCCTGTTCTCAGCAGCCAGGGACATCCCAACAGCTGTGCACTTGCCCAGCTGAGTGTTACAACCTCCCTCTGGTCTTTGCCCTGTGATCCATCTCTGGCTGTGAGGCTGGTGGGATTTGCAAAGCTGTGCATCCAAAGGGTCTCTCTCCTCCGAGGCCATCCCAGCGCTGTTCCCCCATTGCATCACCAAACACACCAACTGCATCTTCATCATCTCACCTCAGCCCCTCTGCTTCGTAAGAATAGCCCTTGAAATGTCTGCTAGTATTTAACACGGTCTGAATATCAGAAGGAATGATATCATAGAGGTGACCCAGTGCTGTTGTACAGCCTGGTCCCAAACCTGCAGTGAGGGGCTTGGGGTCAGTTCATACTCAGCTGCCTGCCTGGGAGGGTCGGGCAAATCCTGGGAAATGCTACTTCTGGGCCCATGTCTTGTGCCTGCTCAAGTGGCCTGTGCTGCTGAAGAACCATCCCAATTTCTTATATTAGCACTGAAAGTCGTATTTGCTGATCTTTGTGTGGATTTGGCAGTGCAGGATCAGTGCTGCAGAAACAATTCCACTCGACATCACAAGTCTGTATTCAAATGTTGGCAGAGCTTTAACTGGTTTAAAAAAAAAAAAAATCTTGGTTTAATATGTTATTTGTCTGCATTTTGTAAGCCTCTAGGACAGATGGGAACAGTGGTCTTGGGCTGACCCTCCTGCCAGCCCTGGGCTGAGCTGCTGTGTGAGTCCTGGCAGTGGTGCTGGAGCCCATCCTGCTGACAGAGCAACGTGGGAACAGGGTACCTGGAAGGCTCTCTCAGGAAGCAGCTGCAGGGTAGCACCAAATGTTTGGGTCACAAACAATGCAGCACAAAGATTAATGGCACTGTGATGTACCTCTGCCCTGGACAGTGTGGGGAAAAACAACCTCAGTTGTAGGACAGTCCCCAGCAAGGTGGTGAGTACATGTGTGCATGCACAGCCTTCAGATACATCCTTACACAGCAAATATTTATCAAAACATCTTCCAGCATCCCCTTTGGACGTACTGCACAGCAGCTTGGGTGTTTACCCTTTCTTTGGTGTTTAAAGCCTGTCCTGTCTCCTGCTAGCCAAAATTAACCTTTCTTTAGGCTTGTAAATCTGACCTGACTCCTCCTAGCCTGACCTTTCACTGGGAGGAGGGTGGGCTGTGGAGTCCCTGCTGCCTTGGCCTTTGCTTGGTTACTCCAGGACAAGGATGCTCACAGCATCTCTGTGTTCCACATGCTTTTGCTATTGTAGGCAGAAAGTCTCCAGCCTTCCTGTTCCCAGTGGAGGTCAATGCCCGGCAGTTCCCTGTCCTCCTTTTCTCTCAGCTCTGGTTGTCTGTTGATAGCAGACTCTGCAGCAGTGATGGGGTGGGGGAGCTGGCCTGTGAGGTGGCTGTAAATGCACTGGATCTACCATTTGGGTCTGGAGTCTTAGGCTTTCTGCCTTTGCCTACCCTGAGACACTGGTGACAAATACCCCTGTATCGAAATGCCCATTTTACCTTTCTTCCATGCTGGTATGAATTGCTGCCCTGGGCAGAGAGCTGGCTGTGGCCTCCTGGGTCCTGCTCTACTTTCCCTTACAGTGACCAACACCAGCCTCAATGGGGCTGCTTCCCTGCTGCAGTGTCTCCTCTGGATCTGCTCCAGTAAAACTTTTTAACTGTGTGCAATGCTCCTGAGTTTGTGCCCTACAATAAATGGGATTGTGTCTTTTCTCTACTGAAAGCTTTGCTGAGGGTGCAGGCACGTGTGTTCATGTGATACCCAGCACAACAGCATCTCTGTCAGTTTGTCATAGAATCCCAAAATGGTTTGGATTGGAAGGAACCTTAAATCTCATCTTGTTCTAACCCTCTTCTGTGGGCAGGGTCACCTTCCACTAGACCAGGTTGCTCCAAGCAACCATCCAACCTGGCCTGGATCACTTCCAGGGGTGGGGCATCCACAACTTGTCTAGGTCAGTGAAGTCACTGACACAGCCAACCTGTGCCAGTGCCTCATCACCCTCTGAGTAAAGAATTTATTCCTAACACCGAATTTAAATCTCTTTCAGTTTAAAAACATTGCCCTATCATCTGCCGGTATAAAAAGTAGCTCTCCCTCTTTTTGATACTGGAAGGGGCTCTAAGGTCTTCCCAGAACCTTCTCTTCTCCAAGCTGAACAACCCCAGCTCCCTCAGCCTGTCAAATGATGGTTTAAGTGTCAATTTTAGTGCCTCACCTACCTCTGTGCTTGCACTGCAGCACCTGAGGAACTCCCTCCTACTGTGTCTACAGGATTCCCTCTATCCCAGGTGTCAGACACTGTGCTCACATCCCTTGAACTCCGAGCTGCTGGGGAGGGCTGAGCACATCAGAGCCGTGAGCTGAAGGACAGAAAATAGAGCTGGTACATCGTTAAAGCCCCTTGAATTCAAATCCCTTTCTAACATGCCTGTGCCCTTTGCAGCTTCCTTCTGGAAAGTTGCTGTGGTGGCTGAGATGATGGCACTGAGCTGCCATGTGGGCTCTCCGCTGCTCAGGCACCCTCTGTCTGTATGTTGTGCTTCCAATGATTTACCTGTTCACTCACAACGCCGGGTGGGCTCTCGGCAGGCAGCCTGTCCTTGGCCACGGCGCTGCTCGCCTGCAGAAGCCCGGAGGAAGCCTGCAGATGCTCGGCTTCCCTCGGCAGGTCAGTGACCGTGAGTGCCTCCCGCAGGGTACCCGAGGCCGTTCACCTTCTCAACTCAGGAAGAAAACAGCAGGGCAGGGTGGGGGCTGCCGGACAGCAGGGTCCCCAGAGGAAACATGGTGCAGGGAGGATAGGATGAGGCATCTGCCAGGGAGAGCAGGGAGGCTGGCACCTCGTCTTGCTCGGGGAGTTGACAAGTTCTCACCTGTCCTTCTCCATCAGTCTTTGCTGGCAATATGGTTCATGGGAGCTGCTGCGAGCCTCCTTGCTGAAATAACGAAATAACCCTGCTCTGTTTTGTCCTGGAGCTCGTTTTGGGAATGGGATGGGCCCCAGCACCATAACAGAGGTGCAGGGGTGGACAGTGGCATGCAGGCCAGGTGTGCACAAGGAGTGGGTGTGAACTTGGGTCTCTGAAGTCCCCAAATAGCAGCTGAGAGTCTGGATACATAAAAAGCTCCAGCTTAGTGGGTTCTTCCCCACAGGGAAGGTGGCAAACCAAAGATCATCCACAAATCCAGCCAAGAGGCAGAAAGCACCACAGCGCTCTGGTCATGGAGTTTTCCAGGGATGTGGGAGATGTGGGTTCACCCAGTGGCAGCAGGAAGCACCCCCTTCCCGGGAACATGCCTCCATTTCCCCACAATGTGTCTAAAACCAGTGGAAGGGAGAGCAGTTATTGTTGTAGGTACATTTTGAACAGGGCTTTGCTGGGGAATTACTGCAGGAATGCAAAATATGGAATATTTCTGCATGAAGAGAAAATGATGAACTGGCTGGAGGCTGTGTGTGAGGTTGTTCCCTTGACTTTATCCTCTTCCACTCTCCATCCCCCTCCAGCTTTCTCCACCCGCCTCGGTACATCCATGTCCTGAGTTAGAGCAATCTTGGCAGGGGCTCAAAGCCCTGCAGCCCCAAGTGCCTGCTGAGGGAGGAAGGCAGCCAGCAACTTGAAGAGTCTTAAGGAAGCTATAGGAAGATTAGGAAATGTGTGATGGGTTTTGATAAGTGGAGGAAGCAGGTCATGTCCTGTGGGCATGTCGAGCGGGCTCTGCTGGAGGTATGAAAGCCGCCTTTGCCACAGCCAGGAATCAGTCAGTCTCATCAGCGCTCTCCACTCTGGCTGAAGATGAGCTGGGCTGGCAGGATGATACTGGGGATCTTCAGGATCTTGCTGGTGCTTGTCCATGCGTCAGCAGCCTGTGACTTCGGGCCCTCCCCTTACAGAGCCACCGGGGTCGTCTGCAGGATGACCAAGCCCGCGGCATTGCTGTGTAAGTGCCTGCTCTGTGGGGCTGTGTTTGCTCCATCTCTGCCAGAAGTCAGGGACAGATCAGCCAAGTGAGGGGGTTTCTTGCTTCCCTGGGTCTTGGGTAAACAGTTTATCTGGTAAGATGTATTAATACCTGCCTGGGAGCACAGGTTAAAAGCATGGGCACCTGAACTGAACAGGCACAGCTTCTCAAAGGAGCTTGAAAAGGGTCCCCAGCCCCTGTCAGCCCAATGTTTTAGTACTGTTCTTTGCTGGGGGCTGGCATGATGGAAAAGCTAGAGAAAATGTGTATTTGATTTCTCTCTTTGTTGCAATCTCATTTCTTGGGGTCAGTGTGCAGAAGGGGGTGAAGCAGGTTCTCTGCTGCTGTGGGTTTATTTGCAAGGATTTGGGGGCATTATGGGTGGGGGAAGAATAATTAGTTCTTCTGTGAAGGGTGGGAACAGCTCTGACCCATCCTCTCTGACAGGGGTACATGGAGACAAAGGATGCTGGGCCAAACTAAGAGAGGGTATTTCTGGAAGGAAAAAAATCCTATAGAACCACATGCCTGAGGCTGGAATGGGCTGGATAACATTAGGAAAACAGGCATGAAAACTTGAGTATCAGAAGTTTTCCTTTGGAGACCCAAGAGCTGACTGCAATACAAGCAAGCAGCAACAGAGGAAAGCACTGGGGTAAAGGCAATGGCTTGTGTGGTGTAAGGATGAGCACAGGCTCGACCTTTCAAAAATCTGCTCCTAAGGTGTGTGAAAACTGGGCATGATTCCCTGGAAACAGGCCTGCTGGTGACTGTTGAACCACACACACTGTTGTCCCTTGCTGCCATCAGCTGCTAAAGTTAGGGATTTTTTTATTTTACTCTGAAACTACTTCTAGTGCTTCCTTAATCTGAGGGAAGAGCCTTGGATAAAACCCTTCTGTGTAGTGCTCTAATCCAGGGTGCGGATCCGACTTTGCGGCCGGGACAGGTTGCAGTTTGGGATCTTTGCCCTTTTCTTCCACCAACAGTGAACCAGGAAACAGCACAGGTCATCCAAGCAGCCTTCAGAAGTGCCAAATTCCCAAATATCACCGGGGAAAGGTCTGTGCGTCTCCTGGGCAAGGTGGCTTACGAGCTGACCAAGTGAGTATCTCCGTGTCTCTGTGCCAGGGGGGATGTGGGCTGAGGGAGGGGAGCAGAAACTGGCCTCGGAGGGAGCTTTGATCCAGCAGTTCCTGGCAGCATCTAGAGCACACCTCTGTCAACAGGGATGAGGAACAATGTCCCTGCAGGCTGGGGCACCTTGGGCCACTGACAATAGATGGTGCCCAAGGCACATCGAGTAGCAGAGGGGACACATCCGGGGCTGCCAGAGCCACCCCTGTCAGCAGGATGTCACTTGGCTGTGCTTTGTGACAAACCAGGCTGGGTGTCGCTGTGTTACTCACTTTTATTTGGGGGCAACAAATGTAGAGGTACCTTAGCGGGACAGATTTCCTGCCATGACCGCGGTCGCACAGAGCACTGCAGCAAAACAGGGTTGTGTTGCTCCGTGTTTCCTGATTAAAGCATTCCCCCACCTCCAAACATCACCAGGGAGCTGCAGTGCACCGAGGCTGAGCAAAAGCACCACTTCTCCTTGTGCCTGGCCCCTGGGATTTGCAAAAGCTTCTGAGTCTGGCATTTGCACAGGTCCCTTAGAGCCCCCATGTCCTCGGGAGCAAACCTGTCTCGCCCAACCACAGAAGAGAGCCCTGGTTTGCAGGCAAACTGTGTTTCTGTTGTTTCCAGCATCCAAGTCAATGACTTGTCCATAGAGAAGAGTGACGTGGAGCTTAAGGAAAATAATGCCATTTATCTTGCCATTAAAAACGTGACGGCCTCCTTCAAAGGGACCCTGACCTACGGCTACGCAGGGGCCTGGTTGTAAGTACCCAGGGCTGGCTGCTGCTGAGCACCACAGCCCCAGCTCCTGCTGCTGAGCACCACAGCCCCAGCTCCTGCTGCTGAGCACCACAGCCCCAGCTCCTGCTGCTGAGCACCACAGCCCAACTCCTACTGCAGCCCACGGGCACTGGCCCATGACACAAGTAGGTGTGGAGGGGCTGCACCCCTCGGACTCGCTGGCAATGCCAGCATTGCTCACTGCCTAAGTGAGACAGGATTTTATGTACTAGCAGTGCTGCTTAGCCCTGTCACTGCTCTGCCCGTCTGTCTTTCTGTCTTTCTGTCCTCACTGTGCCTGAGGAGGCAAGATGGCCAAAGCTTACGAGCTGATTTCTCCCCTCCTTGCTCTATAAAGTCTCAGTGGATAAAAAAGGGATTTAATGGTCCAAAGTGCCGCTGAGAGAGCAGTTTGCAATCATTTACAGCCAGAGTAGAGTATCTTATATAAGCTGCAACATGTCCTTGCAGTGCAAGGACTGATGTTTATAAAACTCACCCTGTGGCTGTCGTGTGGTCAGGGAGAAGCTGCTCCCAGCATGGTTTGCTAAATGTCCTCTCTCCTTGCCATTACAGTTTGAGGCTTTTTCACTCAGTTGATTTTGAAATCGAGTCTTCCATTGACCTCCAGCTGGACATTAAACTGAGTAAGTGACAGCTGGGTACCACTGCCTGCAGGGGTCTCTGTGAGTGTGGGTGGTGGGCAGCAACCCTGAGCTGGCTCTGCCCACCTCTGTGGGGATTGGATGGCATAGGGAGGCTGGGAGTGGGTCTCTGAACCCTGTGCACACAGGATGGGAGACAACCTGGCCCTCAAAGACCTCATAGTTTTAACGGCTCAAGAGGAGGAAGCTGGTATAAATCCCTTCAGTCCTCTCATCTCAGTAGCAAATTAGCTATTTTTTTTTTCTCTTTTTCTTCCATCCCATGCAGCGTGCCAGGAGGACAAAATGGTTGCTGATGCCTCAGACTGCTACCTGACTTTCCACAAACTCACCTTACACCTCCAAGGAGACAAAGAGTGAGTCAGTCCCACTTCAAAATCGAGCTTTATTGCCCCACTGCTGGTCCCCAAATCTCACCCACCACAGGGAGCACTGCTGGTCCTTGACTGTGCTCCCTGTCTTACACAGGCCAGGCTGGCTGAAGCAACTCTTCACAGATTTCATCTCCTTCACTCTGAAGCTTGTTCTCAAGAGGGAGGTAAGGACAGAGGAAACCTCTCTGTAGCTTTGTAAGCTACACACTTCTCTGCTCACATGTGCCCACGAGATAGTAGCAGTGTAATGTTAGTGCTTGTGAAAAATAAGACTAATAAATTGAATCCACAAAAAAAAGGCAGCTTGGACAAAGTGAGAGGTGTTGCTGGCATTGGTGCTGCTGGACTCTGACCAACAGCCCCCAGATCTCACTGAGAGGCCCAGCTCTGCTCTACAATTCAAAATCCTACCCCATGCCTTCAGTTTTTTTCCTCTTTTCCTCTTGTAGGTGTGCAAGGAAATCAATTCTCTTGCTCAGATGCTGGCAAATTTTGTACTTGATTTAGCAGGTAAATATCCTTGTTTTTTCTGCTTTCTTTTAAGTGCAACTTTCGACATGTGAGCTCCAGTAGGGCAGTAGCTGCATCCACCAAAAACATCCTTCAAAAATGTTTATGAGATCCCAAGCCCTCAGACAACAGCAAAGTAAACCTTAGAAATGTTATGTTTTGAGTTTTCTGCATCAGGTTGGTTTTTAAGGGTGATTGCACAGATTGAAAGACGCAGTTCATAAGGAATTTCTCCTTCAGTACACACTGACCAGCTGTGCAGGATAGCTGCAGGACTGATGCTAGCTGGAACAGGAGCACACACTGGAGTACTGGGCCTGAGATACTACAGCACTTGGATCTGCCTGCTGAAGATTTTCCCAGTCCCAAATATCAGGGAAAAGCAGTGGAATGTAAAACTTGAGAGTATTTATCCCTATTTCCCAGTGTTGCAACTCTGTCAGTGAGCTGTAGCAGGATCAGCACTAGCACCCGAAAGAGTGGGAACCCCTGTCCCATTCTTGTGTCCTTTTACAACTCCCAGTCACCTTCTGCACCAAATCCTAAAAGAAACTGTTGCAAGCTCTGCTCGAGGTTGTATTTTTGGTGCAAGGTTTTTGTGTTTCCTTCCTGCAGCGAATTTTGTCCGGGACAAGGATATCATCGTTGATCTCTCCCTTGCAGCAGACTCCCTGATACAAACGGGTTACGTAGAATCACGTCACAAGGTAAAGTAACCCAGGCTGCTCAAAGACCAGTGTTTTCTGGTGCTGGGTTGTGCTGGAGGGCTGGGAGGGGCTGGTCCCTTGCTGCCACGCCGAGGTGCTGCAGCGGGGGGCTGATGCCAGCCTGCTCCCTGCTCTGTGTCCAGCCAGCCAGGCCTTTGCCTTGCAATGGAAATGCAGGTGTTGACATTTTGTTCTGTCTCCCTGCTGCTCCTCGTGGCCAACGTGCTTGTTTTCCTTCGAAGGGCCTTGTGCTGTACAAGAACTACTCCAGCACCCTGAGCGACTCTGTTTTCTCCCCGTCGCTGCTGACCGAGTCCCGAATGCTCTACTTCTGGCTGTCCGAGCACACCCTCAGCTCTCTGGCCTCTGCAGCTTTCTTAGATGGGAGACTGGTATCAACCATCAGAGGGGAGAAGCTGCAGGTGATTTCAGGGGCGGTTCCCTCCTTAACTCATGTTTTGGGGAGAGAGTAATAAGTTCTCTTAATACCGTGTATTGGTGAGAGCCACTTTCTGTAGAAGATAGCAATCTATAGTCAGCCACTACATGTGATGCTGAAATTGGTGCCCTTTTATCAAGAGTGTTCTCTCAGGCAATGAGTGATAACCCTTGGAGTGATAACATGAGCTGACAGAAAACTTGTCAGCTGAACCGTAAAGGGAACATGATTTTCTGGGGAAGCACCAAGGTAGAAAAGGGGTGAGCTCAAGGGAAGCTCAGCCATGCCCCTGAACTGAGCACAGGCCACACCTCAGTGCCCTGTCCCATCCAGCCCACAGGGCTAACCATAACCTTGTGGTTTGCTTTTCCACAGTCTGTTTCTGGTTTGTCTCTGCAGGCACTCTTTGAAATGGAGGACACGGAAGCGCAGCAGAAGGCGGTGCAGATGGTAACTTTTGGTCCTATTCTGAGCATTGGATGTCAAATAAGGAATTTTCAAATGGATTCTGTTGCATCTGGGTCCTTCCCTTGACAACTCGAGTCTTGGGTGGGCCTGATGGGGAAAACCAGGGACTGATGGAGAAACTGTTGTGCTCTGCAAGGAGGATTTCTCCACCCTCCGTGATGGCACAGCTTCCCTAAAACCTGGCTGAGTTATTGAGCTTGTATGAACAGGAGGAGGAACTGGGGACTACAAAAGGGATGCAGCTGTGTGGCAAGTTGGCACGAAATTGGTATGGGAAAAGTCTGACTCATCTGTTGCTCCTTGACCAGATTTTTCAAGGCACCTCCTATAATGACTCTGTGGCCAAGGTGTGGAGTCTCGCCCAGCCCCAAATTTCTCTTCAGCCTGAAGGGACAGTCGTGAAGTGCTTGGTAGCAGTGGAGGTCAGCATTCTTCCCGCAGGAGGAGAGTCTCTGGTGGTTCTGTACATGGAGAAGGTCAGTTCTTGGGTCTCCTGACTGTGAAGATCTTGGGGCAGGCTCTGTCCCAAATCTGGACCACTCCTGGTGTGCAGGGAGCCCTCTGGGAAGGGTGGGTGGCTAAACCACGGGAGGTAGAGAAGGCATATAAGTTCCTTTTAACATTCCCATTTCTTCCCTTGGCATTTGAGGCTGGGAATGATGATAGTGACCGTGTTGGCTCAATGCCTCCTCTATCAGGCCAGCCCATCACCGATGTGCAAGGTGGTAAAAGCAGCACAAAGCACTGATGAGCCCCCATTAACCTGTATCAGACACAGGGAGACCCCTGCAGCTGAGATGTTTTAGGAGAGAATGAAGGCACCATGGGAATGGATTTATTTTGAAATCTCCCCATTTCCTAATTCTAGCTCTGGCCTCCACTTAGAAAATAGTTGTCTCTGAAATGAAGATGCACCTCTGAAAAACGTGAAGCTCAAAATATAAACTTTTCCTCTATGCATGCATGTATGAAAGTTCCTGCTTACGTTGTGTTTTACCCCAGACTGCTTTATACTGAACCTAAGGAAGCAAAAAATAGAAATGCCAGGAGCTTTCCTGTCATGGGTAACATCACAAGAAAGCAGTATATTTGTCCAGTCTTGGAATTATGGGCTGGCATGGACACAAAACCAATGCAAATCTCTCCCTGAGGGTAAAGCAGACTCTCTAATTTAAAGGGTTAAACTGTAATTGAGAATAATTCCCTTCCTGTGGGATACTCAGCAAGTATCCCACATTAGCAGGTCATTACAGGAAAATACACAAGGCTGTTTCTTGCACTCCAAGTGATATCTTGACATAAATTTCAAGGATTTGAAATTATGGAATTGCAGAAGCACTGAACTAGAGGTGGTTCATAAAATCATGGCTCCTGGGATGTGATCTGCTCCTGGACTGCCAGAATCCTGGTTGTGAGCTGCAACTGCATCACAAATTCTCCTTTTAAATGAATGTTTGCACATAGGCAAGAGTAAGAAAATGAGCCTAAATGACCAGAAACCAGAGATTGCTTTGTTTTTTTTAATTTGGTTTACATTTGCTGGCTACCCGTGGTAGCCCCGGCTGCCTCGGAGCCGGAAGGATGTTGAAATCCGGCTCCTAGAAAAGCAAACCAAAATGTCCAAATGCAACTCCCTGCTACAAGGCAAGATGAACTATGCCTCAACCCTGCTGTTCTTCTCTCTGCAGGAAATCACGGTCACTATCCAAGCTGCCTATGTGGAAAAGAAACTCATTTTGCAGCCTTTGGACTCCAGGTCAGTACTGTGGTCTCTTGAGGGTTTTGTTGCCTTTTTTGGCCCGTGCTTAAAAGCAGCACAAAAAGAGGATCTCTGCAGCCCTAGGTGACTTCCCCTCACCCTTTTTTTTCCCCCCTTCCCTTCAGCATAGAGTTTAAAGTCTTGAAATGCACAGCTGATCCAAGTGGGGTAAGTCCTTGAAAAAAGTATTCTCTAAGCCACTTGAGGTGAAATGATGTCTTTAAAGCATTTTTTTTTTGTATGAATTTTCTGGCTTTCAGAATGACCCATCCATACGAAACTTTCTGCAGAACATGATCTCGGTTGTTGGGATCCCAGAAGTAACTTCAAGTGAGTTTTCCCTTTGGGGAAGTGCCAACCTACTCTGTAAATTGCCTAACAGCAGATCCCCTAAACCTGAACAAATCCATCAATAACCCTAAGAGCCCAGAGGGGGGGAACCACATCACTGTTTTGAATTTCTGCTGGATTCGCTTGGGGAACCCTTTGTAAATGTCTGGGAGAAAGGAAAAGTGAGTTTTCCATTGGGCCAAAGGTTGTGGGGCGCTGAGGCACAATTAGGTTTTGGCAACAGGCAGACAGGGTGGAAGCACATGGTGAGGAGCAAGCTGGGAGGGCCATACCTGTAACTGGATGGGTTTGCTGATTCCACAGGCATTGGATCAGCTCTGACTTCACTGATGGACAAAAAAGGAATCAATCTATTTGATATCATAAATCCTGAGATCGTCCCAAGAAAGGTAAGCAGAGCTCAGAGGTACCTGGCTCTCAAAGCCCCCTTGGGTGTGTGGCATAAACTAACATAACATTTTTCTGTTTTCTCCCCCCTTTTTAGGGATACGTAATCGTACAACTTGACTTTGACTTCCCGCATCATTTGCTTCTTGATTTTCTTCACAAAAGTTTATAGAGCTGATCCCTTCATAGAGAGGAGCTTGTGTACAAGCAGCAAGATTTGTGTGTGAACCAATTAAAAGATGAGCTGATTTAAATGAGCTTCGATGGAATTTTATTTCCTTTTCCTGAGAAACACTCCAGGTTCTGTGCAATTGTGCTTCTACAGAGCCTTTCTTCTGCAAAGATCTTGAAATATGCACTTTGATGCATGCTGCTTTTTCAGGATCTTTAAAGGAATTATGTGCTTGGGAGTAAGGGCTGGACTCTTGAAGTGTGTGGGCTCTGGGTTAGAACTGGGGAGGCAGCAGAAATGGAATTTGACCACCTTTTGGCATCACTGCTGTTAGTTTTGGAAATGTAGCACTTTTTGTGCTGATCCTGGGTTTCCCTTCTGCCAAGAGACAAGAGCCTCCTGATGTTGACAGACTCCAGCAGCTCAAATGATATTACCAAAATCCAAGTAAGCTCAGAACCAGTAATGGTAAAAGACTTGGGTATGGCTGAAAAAAGTTAATGGGATATGGATTTACAGTGCAGTACTTCAACAGAGAGATTTTGTGACTAGGGTACTTTCTTTGAAGAAAGTGGCTCTGTGTAGAGTTCCAGGCAAATTGTTAATGCCTGTGTTGTTGAAACAGTGACAGCAAACTTGAGAAAAGCAATATCAATTATAAGGAAACCAAAGAGATTATAGCAGAAAGTTTAAGTGTCTAGTCAAGCAGCAGGTTCCACTTCCTTCCTACTGCAGTTCAATAAGTTATCTGAAGTGGCTCAGTTATTTTCCTGTACCAGTTTGTGCTTCTGGTTTGTTTTTTTTTCTTTTCAATTGGAGGAGATCTCAGGCAACAAAGCCAATATTGTAATAGTAATCACATTGTCAAAGGCAGAGGATGTTTTCCTCCCACACAGAGCAATATTAAAGTTGGGGTTCCCACAAAGAGCCCTGAGGTGCTGGTAGCAGGATGGGCTCAGCTTCTTGAGCTCCCTGGGCATGGTGGTTGCTCCCTCCACGTTGCCATGGATGTCCTCCCTGGGATGTGAGCCAGGTCCCTCTGAACTACCTCTCTCTCACCATCACTGCCCGAGGCACCTCCTTGCTCCAAAGTGACTTCTGGGGTTCAGTGGTCACGGTGCCCAGGCTGGGGGAGGGAGGTTTGGGCACACAGAGGGGGGGCAGTTTGCAGGGTGCTCCATGGCAGCCCAGGACCAGCTGTGTCCATGAGACAGCAGGAGCTGAGTGCTGTGAAAGGTGTGACACAATGGTGTGAACGGACCTGGTACATTGGGCGATTTTGTACAGTAGACAACTTTCCCCTTCCCTTCCCACCCTATTCCCATCACTGCCTCTGCTGCCTATTTCAGTACTAGCTGAGGGCTTATCCTTGCTCCCTCCTGCTCTAAAGCCACCACTGCTGAGGCCATATTTTCCCTCCCTGCATGGCAATGTCTGGTGAAGACCATGGGAACTGCCTTCTGTCAAGACACAGCCCTCTGGTTCTCCTGAATGACATCCCATTAGTGATGAGCATTAATGAAAAGGAAATGGCAGGAATAAAAGTGCATTTTTTCTGTGTTGGAGGTGCTTTGCCCCTCTATGGCCATTCAGTGGTGACAGAGTGTGGGACTGGGCTGCCCTTCCATGGAGCAAAGGAGGGCAACGGAGCTGGGTAGGGACCTGCAGCACAAGTCTGATGAGGAGTAGCTGAGGGAGTGGGGGGGGGGCCTCAGTCCGGAGAAAAGGAGGCTCAGGGAGGACCTTATCTGCAACTCCCTGAAAGGAGGTGGGAGCCAGGTGAGTGTTGGTCTCTTCTCCCAGAGAGCAAGTGACAGAAGACACAGCCTCAAATTGCACCAGGGGAAGTTTAGATTGGATAGCAAGGAAAATACCTTCACTGAGAGGGTGGTCAGGCTATGGGACAGGCTGCCCAGGGCAGTGGTGGAGTTACCACACCTGGAAGTGTTCTAAAGGTGTGTGGATGTGGCACTTGGGGACACGGCTTAGCGGCTTCATGGTTGGATTCGACGATCTTAGAGTCTTTTCCAGCCTAAATTATTCCACGGGGGAGCGGGGACTCTGCTGAGGTGTCGGAGAAGCAGCAACACGGCGGCTGACTCCCCTGAGCATCCCCGCGGTGCCGCCGCTCCCTCCCAAAACAGGCGGCGCAGCCCCCCCGGGGCCGAGCCGGGTGCGGAGCCGCTCCGGAACCCCACGTGCTTTCCCGGCAAAGCCGCCGCTGGTTTCGGTTTCGGGCGCGGCGGTGCCGGGGCTGCTCCGCTGTCCCGGAGCGGCGGCGGCGGGACCGACCCGGGCAGGTGAGCGCGGCCGGGCGGCATCGCGGGGCATCCCCGGGCAGGGACGGGCCGAGGCGTCGTGCTGAGAACCCCGCGAGGGTCTGGGTGTGGGGGGAACTGGGGGGGGGGTGTGGGGTCTGGCTTTGCCCTTCTCTACTCAGCCTTTAGAGTTGACTTCTTTTGCGAGAAGGCGTGGCTGGAATCGCAGAATTTAATACCGCTGGAAAAGACCCGCGGGATTATTGACTCCAAACTTTTAACAAGAGCAGGTGGCTTGTGCTGCCGGGTGCAAGGTGAGCCAGGTCCAGGCAGGAGGTGGCAAACTGGGGCAGAGCTTGGCAGTGGGCACTGCATGTGGCCACCCCAGCTGCTCCGTGTCACCCCTGGCCCCTCCGTCCACTCCCGGTTCTCTCAGAGCTCCCCCCGTTCCCTGCACCGCGCTCAAGGTAAGAGAGAGTTTCTGTCCAGGGACAGGGGTGTTGCTGGACCTGGGTATGTTATTTTCTGTGGTGAGTTATGGCACAGCGTGGTGTGCCATCTTGCCTTCTCTGGGACTTGGCCACACTCTCCATCTGATTTTCCAATGCAGCTCCTCTGGCATCCAGAGAAATATTAATAATATTTCATTGCTTATTGCACCCCATAGAGCTAGATCTGGAGATCTGTGCACACACAGTTCTATTTAGAAACCTGGGATCTTTTATCAATTCATTCACATCTCCAACGTTCCCACTTAAACCTTGACCCCAATCCAAAGGAAAAGCAAGTTGTTTTTTTTTTCCTCTTAGATATAATGGAAGTGGTAAAGAAATATTTCCCCCTGTGCCAGAATAATCAGATGTATGCTTCTAAATAAAAATATAAAAATATTCCCATTGTAAGACTCTTAACTGCAACCAAGTTGGTTTCCTCCACGGAGAGTGTCTGCCTCTGAGTCCCACTTTTTGCACCACTTTCCTAAAGTTTTAACAGAAATTACCATCTGGCTACAGATTTTAGAATAGGATGTCACCCTGCTGCTATTCTGACTGAATATTTTTGCTCATCTCCCAGATGAATTTCAGTTGGGGAATTCCTGGCTGGTTTTACTTTCATTTTCCTCGGCCTTTTGTTCATCAAGTCCCAAAAGGCACGGAAGGGCTTTGTGGGTTAGCAAGTAGAGGTCAAGGCAGTGGATATTGTTCTCCATCTTGTTTCTTTTTGTGACCCCCCATACTGGTTTGGTGCTGCTGCTCTGTTTCTGGGCTTTTGGTAAGTAGCCTGAGAGCATGCAAGAAGTTGGTAGATTTGCAACAGGTAGTTTCACATTTCACTTTAATTTTTCGTGGCTGGGAACCGTGTGAATGCCAAGTTGGGGAGGGGAGGTGGATTTTTGCAGTGTTATGATGGTGGTTTTGCATTTGAAGGGCAAGGATCGAGGCTGAAAAGTTTTCTGGCTTTTCTTGGGAGGTTTTTGTGCTTCCTTTTGGGTTGAGAGGTAGGTACTGTAGTACTGTAGGTCGCTGTTCATCATTTCTGATGGTCTTATTTAGCAGAGCAGTAGGTGTAGGAGCTGTGAAGTGTCATTAAACATCTAACTTTTCAGTGTTGTTTTGTTCTTGAATATAAGTCTTTCATTAATTCTTTTGAGTCTAGTCTTTGCCTGAATGGTTTTCAGTCTTCATTGGCATTAAGGTCTGATTTTATTAATTTATGTATTTATTTAATAAGGCCTTTTTAAGTCAGTCATTCTTGGCCATCAGGGGAATAATGTCAGAGCATTGCTGTTTACAGATTTCTGGTTTTTGGCTGGAGAAGTGTAAAATGGAAGTTCCCAAAGGTTGACTGATAAGGCTGCTGGGGAATTGAGTTTGTTTTGCAGGAAACCCTATTATTTTGCAGTTTGTTTAAATTTGAAAAGCTTAAATGTTGTTTTTTAAGATTTCCAATTAATTGAAACATCTTTGTTTTTAATGCATGTGTTGCTATTACCATTCTTTATTTGTATGACAGAGAATATATAAAAACAACAACAATAACAAAACCCCCTCATAATAAAACATTTTGAATGAAAACTTGCAGAGTGCTTTCCAGTAAGGTTCAGAATTTCAGTTTTTAACAACATGTTTGACAACAGTTTTTGACAGCCTGAGGAGAAAACTGATCCTGGGTGAGGCAAATTTTGGAACATTTTTCTTGTTCTTGTTAGAATTGTAAATGACAGGCATTAGAGTATTTTTACAAAGTATTTGCACATTTTGCTGAGTCCCAGAGCTGCCTCACTTTTTATTTAAGAGTTTGATCTGGAATGGGAACCTGGGTAAAGTCTTTCTTGCAGTGATACTGTATTGCAGCAGTTTATGGTGATGCTGTATAGTAACCAACTTTGACTCAATGAGTAGAAGAGCACACAGTATCCCAAGCTGTGCTCTTTTCAGATGTCTGCTTGGCTTTCAGAGCACAGGAACAGAAGAGGTTGATTGAAGAGGCAGCACAGAGAGGGCAGAGAGTGGTGTTGGTTGGCAGGGGAACAGGTATCCTCATAAACACGAGTGGGACAAACGTCTAGACCGATTTTACCTCCAGTGCTGCAACTTGGTGCCTGCTTTTGTTTTGTCTTCAGGTTCTGGGTGCAGGCCATGCCCAGCAACCATGTGGGGAGGTGATGTTCTCTGCATGTAATGCACCTTTGGGAGCAGCATGGCTGTGCTCCAGCACGACTGTAGCTTTCTGATTAATTAGAAGTTTTCTCTGCTCAGATGGGAAGGTCAGAGTATCCTTCTGTCTTCCACTTCTGTTTTGAGCTCTTCCCTCCGCTCCATAAAAA